TCACCCAGAAATTTGGACTCACACTCCAACTTTGAACCCAGCACGAGCTCCAAGAAACCTTAAAAAAAAAATACAATCGCCAACCAAAAATAGAAAACAAGCCAGCGAAGGGCCAACTCTGGATCGGAGCTGGATTTGAAGTCTTTGCCTTTGGCCAAGTCGTGTTTCTCTGTGAAGGCGGCAAGGGGTGGCGGTGGGGGTGCCACCCGCACAGGCTTAGAGCTGGAATTGAACCAGTTTTCTGTTTTGGCCACTTCGCCAATTCGGGAGTGGTATGGCCAATGCGAAAACCGGCTAAAGAATTTTCCAGCTAAGAAGTTTTTCATGTTCGGTTGCCATTTTCATTGAACCACGAACTCGAACATTCATTTCCATTGTCCTTTTAGGCGAAAATCATAAAAACTGAGTTGGGCTTCGGGTTGCCATGGCTTAGGTAACAAATGGTTTTTGGAAGTTCTGCGATAATGTTTTTGCTAGTGGCGTAAAACCCAATTAGTTGCCGCGCATTGCAAATATAAAGTAACGCGCATAAGTCAGCAGATAAAGTTAATAAAAATAACCAAACATTTTTATCGACGTGATAAAGAGGGAAAATAAGTTTTGTCTTAACGCTTTCCTCGAATCAAAATTTGTTGAACCTTTTCCCATTAGTTTCCAATTTTCCAAATTTAATTCAAATATATTTGAGCTCGCAGACGTCCATTACAAAAATTTACAAAACGACCTACCCTTTGGGCTTTGGAAAAAAAAAATAAGAAAATGTAAATTGAGGATGATTATTTAATTAAAAAAAATCATGAGCCCAAAATCAAGCGTGGCCAATGTAAAATTGACTCCGATCGATGGTCGATGGAAATTTCACTTTCGTTTTGGGGCTCGGCCCTTCGGGCTTTCGTTCACCAAATTCATTCATTTCACCGCCCAAAAAACTGACCTCAGCGAGCATTACGTAAAGTGAGTCTTTCTTATTTTGCTTTTATTTTTGGCCAGCCACGCCCAGTAGTTGCTGCTGTGTTTACTTTTTGTCTGGCGGCATATCGAAGGTTTTAGCCTAAATGGTTTACAAATTTATGCGGTTTCCACCAAAAATGCTTTCAATTTCAGGTATTTTGATGACGAGCTCAAAGACCACGGTTCCCAGGCGGAGGGGGTGGGAAAGTAGCACCGACTTTTAATTTATATAACCCAAATGTGATCCGAGATGTGGACAAGATGGGCCACAGGCACCTGCTAACACTTTGAAGAGCTCTAGAGTCTGCGTGATAGTTACAGTCACCCAGTTTAGTGTAAGACTTTTGCATTCACCAGCAAAAAGCAGACAACCTGTTCGCCCATTGACCAAAATTTGCGTATAATTGCTCTACAAGTTGCACGGCTAATGCAAATAGCCAAACAAGCTAGCTGGGAAAAATAGGGAAAAATAAAGCAAACTATGAAATGTATTCCAAACGAGTTTAAATGGCCCGTTCGTTGGTTTTCTCGTTTTCATAATTGATTTATGTAGCTTTTGTGAGAGCCCCATTTCCGACTTCGTATAAACAATATCCGCTTGCCGCTTGGCCAACGAAAAGCGAAAATTCCAATCAATCATTTATGCACACAACCCCCAGCCAAGGACATTGGCATTAGAATGCCACTGTCCCTCGACTCGGAATGAAACTTGGCCAACACCCGCACAAAGAACCGCACCGAGCCAGCCACATTCTAATCCCGGCCAGAACCTGTTTATGGCCGGCAATTATTTCTGCCTTAATTGTATTTAATTTGCCCGTACTTCGGTGGGGGTGTGCAGTGAGTTGTTCTTTTCTTACATGCCGACACTTCACTTCAACTTTGAGGGTGTGGAGCTGTCTTCTGATTTCTTTCCTTGCCCCAACTGGCTTCTGTCGACAGAGCCGCATTCCCGTGGTGACAAGTCTGGGACTTGCTTCCTCCGCTCTCGCGGCATTAAATAGCGTTTAATTAAAGGGTTCTGTCATGTTACACGCTTTGATTAACGACACTAACGTTGCGATCGGAATGTTCCGATCTGATTTTTCAAATTGAATTTCCCAATTAAAATGTATATAAAATGGTTTCAAATGCGTAATACATGTTTCTTTTATTAAATCTACTTGCCATTAAGCAACTTCCGTCTTGCCCATTATCTGTTGTCATTCCAACGATATAGATCACTTTAGCTCCTTCGTGAGCAATGAACAGTTTTTATTTACTCGCTCGGTTTTGTTTGTTAGCCACTTATCGAAACACAAACATCGCAGACTACCTCAGCAAATATTTCGCTATTTCCCCAACAATGGGTAGATGTGAATATGGTTTATTTGCTGACAAACTATATACTCGAAGTTTTGCATTCTGCCATTTGCTACTTGCCACTTGCTGGCTGACGCTCGCTGCTGGCTTGCCACACATTTGGCCAGCCCAGTGGGTGCCCCCCGCCCAGTGCTCCAATCTCTAATGTTTGGCCAACAATAAAAGGCAGCCAGCTGGAGAGCTGTTGGCCGAGTTGCCTTGCAACAGTTTCTTTGTTTTGGTTTTTGCAGTTGTTTTGCTTTCGGTTGCGCTGCTCACTGCTCGCATTCGGCTTACTTTGTGTAACAAGTTTGCATATGTAATTAACCGACTGCCAGTGGAGTATTAGTAAATAAAATTAAAAACTAAATCGGAATGTGCACGAGTTGGGCAAACGCCTCGCATGATGTAAGCCCAAGCGGGCAACCAGTAAACTTGCAAATTCTTACAGTTCTCAAGGCGTTAAACAAAAGACTTAGGCGACAAACTAGCCATTTCAATGATCTCAAGAAAGTGATGAAAAGACTTCTCGACTCTGAGTGGGTGCAGCTGAACAGGTAAACCCATTAGTGCTAATAATCTGCCGGCTGACTCACTTTCATCGCACAAACCTGACCTTGGGCCTATGGGCATTATTTTCTAATTAGCGAATCGCCGCCGTAAGAACATTGTCCACTTCTTGAAAGACTTCTCAAGTTTATTTGTTTTTGATATTATCGCCGGCGGAGTCGGAAGCTTATTGTTCTCGTTTCCAGACTCCATTTTCAATTTTGCTGTTTTTATGATTATTTCGTTGTTATCTTTCGAGTTGGTTCTGATCAGTTCGCCGAAGTCCATTAAAAGTGAGTAAATTAAATGAAATTTTGTCAAACACAAAGAAGCACAATAGAAGTAATCATATCGGGTTTACTGAACTGGGCGCAGGTGTATGATGTCAGATCTAGGAAATGAGTTCTGCACGGCCAAGCATCCAAGTATTTATGGGTTAGTTAGGCCTAGGTAAATATAGTCATAACTATCTGGCAAATGGGAGTGTCTTTATTCGTGGCTCTGATTGTCTCTAATGTGGGGTAAGTTTAAAATGTGGGAACTCATTGAGCAATTAAGTGAATTGTTTGAGAATTCTTATCTCACTACAGGCAGTGCCTATAAGAGTATATTTTTGGGAGTGTAACTTTCAAAATGTTGGGCTTCATTCAAAACTGCAGGCAAAAGCGACGACCTTCAATAAATAAAAAACGAAGAAGCCGCTTTAACAATAAAAGCAACAATAGCGAATGCATCGCAGAGAGCGACCAGCCGAGAAACTTGATTAAAGTTAAGAAAAACGTAAAGTTCAACTTGTTTCTGCTGTCATTTGTTGCCGTTTCTGGCTGTTGCCTCGCTTTTGTTGCACTTCTGCTGAAGTATTTGCGCCATGGCTTGACATTTCGCACAAAAAGGAAAAAAACGAGGCGATCGAAAATACAAAAAAGCAGCAAATGAAGAAGAGGCTGCAAGATTTCATGCTTTTATTTTCGCAATTCGTTGCACCAGCCCAGCCCAGTGCGATATAATGAATCTAAAAATGCCCGGGCTATTGTCACTAGCGTAATTAGCCGACTGCTCTCAAGCCCCCAATAGCTTTATCTATAATATATCAACTGATGTGCGAGCTCTGAGATCGGCGGAACCACCAGCTATAATGCCGTGCAAATTTCAAATTCCAAATTCCTTGCTGCAAAACCGCAAATGTCAAGACGCGGAGTGCAATATGCCACAGTGGTCGTGGGCAAGTTAAATATTTAATTAGAATTTTATTAAGTCAATGATTAAATTGAAGCCACACCTTGAGACCAATATAACCCAGAAAAAAGTTAAAATGTGTCGCATGCCCTAAATGAAAATATTAAACAAGTAAAGTTCTAAATGCATTCGGTTTACCTAACTGATTAAAAGACTAATAGACGTTAAATGAAACATATTTATGGTCACTTAAAATTAAAACCTCCATGGACGTAAAACTCAGTTAGTTACAAATGTGCTAATGCGCTTAAAAAAGTTAGAATGTTTTAGATTTGCGCCCTAAGCAGCCATTAGTGCTTATAAATAAACACTTATTGGCAGTCTCAGCAGAACACACTGTGCTGGGTGAATAGCACTTGACGTGACCAGTCTGGGCACCGAATACCGACTACCGATCACCGATGGCCGGCTGAAAATGGTATTGCATTGAACCGCTTGGCCCACAGAACGCCCCTCGGTAGTTTGCGGCCCCATTGTTTCGACCATTTTCCTTTTTCTTTTTTTTCCGTTCGGTTGCGCCAAATGCCAAATGGAGACGACAGTTAGAGAGCCACCTTGGCTAAGCTAGAACCAGTGGACAGGCGGCTAAGTTAAAACGGACTTGCAAGCCATTGTAGTAGCTTCCTTTGGTTCAGCTTTCAAAGGGACTGTCACAAGGAGACCTTTGAACAAAGGCCAGTACAATCAGTTGGAAGAAAACACTCCTGTTATTAAGCAAAGATTTCAGTAAAGCATCAGCGCAACAAATAGCAAAGTCAATTGGGAATTGTGGCCAGATCGAGAAGCTGCCAAATCACAAAAATCAGAATAAAATGCCTCAAAAGAGCTATTAGAATAACCCTCCTCCTTGGCTAAGTTAGATCCAGTTGACATGGCGGCTAAGTTTTGTAGTAGCATTATCTGCTTTAACTATCAAAAAAACCTATCACATCGAGACCTTTGAACAAGGGCCAGTTAACAAATTTCCAATAAAGCTTCGTGGCAACAAGTAGTAAGATGGATTTGGAGGACAACGGGGACGGCTTACCAGGCAGGCGGCAGGCACACAGGAAAAGGGATAACATGTCCGAGAACACCAAGACGAGTCTTCTGAAGAAGGCCACCAAGGCGGGGCCACAGCTGCCTAAGAATTTGAAAGTCAAATGCATGATAAAAGATAGAGTTAAAATGGCGCAGAAGAGGAAATTCAAGGAGCTGGCACTTAAGAAATACACAAAGGATAAATCGCTGCAGAATCGCTGCAGCGATAAACTGAAGCTCAAGCGTAAAGTCATGTTGGTGGAACCCTCTTTGAAGTCCATACGTCCCAAGATGCTTGCTCGGCGCCCCACTCCGTTGCCTTACCCTCGAAAAAGAAAGGGAAATCGGTCAAAGACCTTGCCAAAATTTGTTCCCTTGTTTCAGAAAAAAAACGATATCGGCAATCAAAAATCCTCCGAAGAGTGATAATTTTACAATTTTTGCTTTTGTTGCATTAACTTATAATTGAATGACACATTCACATTCAAATTTTCTTGCCCATTTAGACTGAAATCATAGATTATCATAGAGTCTGCTCACATATTGAATCCTCAAAACTCAATTACAATAAATTCCAATTGCGATCGATAGGCTTATTTATGCGACATGAGCCCGAAGGTTGCCGGCGTCTCGTAAAATTCTGTCCAGAAATAGGCAAATGTGTCACGACGTCGAATCGGCGTATTTGAATTTATTTCGATGGTTTTTCGATTTTGGGTCAAGTGCACACAGAATGCTAATGAGGTGTTCCTCCAAGAAACGCCACTCCAAAAATAGTTGCAAAAGAAGAAAAAAGAAGTGTATTCAGCCAGGTCGAACTGCAATGCCCACTTAGATATATGGAACACTAGTGCAGCGTCAACGGCAATGGAGGATGAACGATTTGATCTACCTTCTGCGGATTAGAGCGAGCTACGCTGGGAATAGTAACCACTCTTGCCACAGTGCAGAAGGAAAAATGTTTGGGACTCGCGCTGGATTCGAACTCGGGACCCACTAGAATTAGTTCAAGAACATCAGGAGAACTTAGACCGCAGCACCATTGACCGTTTCCAAGCAGAACGAGCTAACATTCAACCCAACCACCGCAGCAAGCAGTGGTCCAATCAGAACGACAAGCAGTGCACATACGCGTAAAGTAAATGTAGAATTCTCATCATTCAAAGGAGGTATATTTAATTATTGATTTTTAAAATCTCTATTATGCACAAAGAGATTTGTTCACTCGTAAATCAAAACCTTCAACCTTTTCCCAATTAATTTTTAAGAATTTGTACATGTACCCAATGACAACAACGGAAGTGGGCGTGTTTTGAACGAACTTCAACACTCAATGGGCTGCTGCAGCTGCCTTGGCACACAAATTTTCGGGCATATGTCTTCTGACAGATCTTTTGGGCCATTAATCAAACCCTAAACTAATCTCCAGTCAGTCATTTCGACAACTCGCGCCAAATGTGCGAGACATGCGACGCCTCGTCGCGTTCTTAGATGCGATAATAAACGGCAATTACTTGCAGTTAAAAAACGTTTCAGGTAAAAACAAGGTGTGAAGCCCAAAAGAGCCAGATAAATTCGACTCGAATCGATGTAGGCGTTGTCCCCACTCCAAAATTCCCAGCTCTCGAGGCTCTTGCATAAATACGTCTGATAAAATTTTCAATGAATCGCTGCTGCGGCTGCAATTCCGTTTGAAATACTGCGGCCATATGATATTTTAATTTTCAATTAGCGACTCGAAAATCCGTCGACACAGGGGGAAAAAAAATTAACTTCGCGTGGTTGTGCTGCATTTTCTTGTTTCTTATTTTTAAGGCAATACGTAGTGGGTCAAAAAGTCAGGATTGTGAGCATGCAACATCAGCTTCGAGTTGGGCGACTGTTCCCCACTTTATCATCCTACTGCACACGAAATATTTCGCCAAAAACGCAATTATTTCAAAAATATTCACTGGCAGCTTTGCTACAGTTTCGTTTTCCAATCATTCAAAATCTCAAGTAAAAAGCTGAATTGAGCAATATTAAGCCGCCAAAGATGTGGCAAAGTAAACATGAAAAATGGGACAAACAGGTCTTAAAATTTAACAATTTAATGACGTATTATTAGCTTAACAACATGAATATCTATAAAATATAATACGCTGTTATTATACGATATTTATGGGGAAATCGCAGTGAACTTTTTAGGCTTCCAGATTAAGTTTTGCGATTATTTGTTGTAAAACCGAAGAAATCCCCTAAACTAAGCAAATTCACTTGATTCACATTCACTTTTGCTTGACAAATGCGGAGAAAATACTTTCAAACAATCACAGTGTGCCAAAGGTACAAAACTGAAAAATATAACTTAGTTTTACATTAATACATCATTTTCCACTAATATTATTGTATTCTTTTTTAAGTATAATGCAGCAGAAATGTTTCGGGCAGAGCATCGCTATATTAAAAAGGTTTTGCTGATGAATAGTAGTTTTTAACAGCATAATAAATACGCAATTTGTACACCACTGTGCTGGCTGTGACAAATCCATGACCCAAAATATTTTGCGCCAGCCGGAGGCTGCATTTATTTATTTATTTATTACACTTTTCGCTCAATTAAGAGCAATGATTTTCGGGTTTCGGGGCTGTGCGTTTCATGGCCATGCGGCGCTAGAGGCGCTGGAGTGAACAAATTAATTGATTGTTGACACATTTACGCATTCGACTAACAGCTCTGCGACCTTCAGATACTTCCAGCTACTACTTCCCATCGCAAAATCGATTTGTGCCATCATCCGGATCCTTTCCGCGTGCCCAGCCGCCCTCGCTGAGTGGATTCCGGGCCAGTTCCGGCGGATTCTCGCCTTCGCCGGGCTCCTACCAGGAACAGCTCCTGTTCATCGCCAACGAAAATGCCAAGCAATCGCCGGCGGCGGCCAGTTCGCCATTCGGAGCTCCATTTGGAGGCAGTTCCCAGTTTGCGGTAAGTCTTTCGGCTGCACCAAAAATTCAAATTCAAATTCAATTATTTCCCCATTACATTTCCTTATTCGGCGAGGGGGCGTTCAAGCAGCTCCGCTCTGGGCAATTAGTGGGTTTTTCTTCGGTTTCTTCGGTTTTTTCGATTTTCGGGTTGTTTTTTTAGCCTCTAGGCACGCCAGTCAATCAACGCCGAAAACGAAATCAAATCGAATGCAAAATGCAGAAGGATTTCCACATACCACATATGAAATTTGATTTAGTTGGCTGGCCAAAATGGCAGGCCGCAATTTCCATTGGTGGCCTGGAAAGGTGGCGTGCCACAAAAGGCAGGATACTGAAATCAATGTCTTGGGATCGTTGTGGATCATGGAGCTGCATAGACATACTGTTTCGCATATCGAGAGGATTCAGTAATACAGCCATTCTCTTTTATCTGCGAACAATCCAATTTCTCTACGGGCTTTTACATGCTTAACGTACGTAGTTTTACGGCACGCGACTGTCAAAAGCGCTTAGATACTTTTAAAATATCCGTAGGCCGCACGCTAGCACGTAAAAAGATATGAAAAGTGCAATCAAATGATGGCTATAAAATATATGCGTGAACGAAATGGCGGGAACTGCCGACTGACCATTTGGATATCCACACTTTCACTTGACCAAAGTCAAACAAAGCGAATCGGCTTCTGCATATCAACGAATATATGCGTGAGTAATTGCTGAGCATTCGAAGCCACGCGAAGAGTTGGGCTGTTTCCTAATTGAAAAAGTGTAAACTCACATTGTCCATGATGCGATGAGCACGCACTTTGGCTGCAGCGTGCATCTTGCAGCTTTGGCCCTAATTGAAATGGCTTTGGTGCCCGCAAGGGGAGGAGGTGGTGCCCCCAGCGGGGGTCTTCGCTTGGGATTGCTGCACCATCAAACCCCCAGTTGCAGTGCACCGATTCCGACTTCTCTATACCCTTCGCTGAGGTACCCCACAATAGTCTAGTTATGAGCTGGCCAGCAACTCAATTAACCAGGTAACCCTTTAGAACGCATTCTCCAGCTGCTGAGTGAAGACAGCTCCAGGCTGCAGGCCAAGGAGCGGAGCTATTGAACGGAGCTACTCTCTGCAGTTCCATCTCCACCTCCATCTCCACCTATCAGCTTATCACGAAGCGTAATGGAAATTGTGAGTTGGCTGAATGGCGGCTGATTGGCCAAGTCGAGTGTGTTGGTCCAAGGGGAAAGTGCGTCGTAATGACGAGTGTTGGCGGTGCAATAACCTTCTTCCCCGGCTAAACTGCTTTCCAGCGACGTGAGCGAGGCTTTCATAGTTTCATTATGCTATCCATATTGACAAATGCCTTAGAAACGTTTGTTTTTAATTTCCCCACCGACCGACAATCGCTTTCTTCGCCGCCACACAACTAATACACAACTGTTGACAATGGGCAGTGAAACTTTGACATGAGAGCATATCAGCGCATGTAAGCCCACTCCAAACTGGAGGAAATATGTTGCCATCAGCAAGTACAAACACTTACATGGGTAAAACCTGCTGCTGTGCAATCTAAAAGCAGGAAAAGCTTGCTAAAGGCGGAACATCATTCTTAAATCAAGGTTATCTTTGCGGCAATATCAGTTAATATAGCGGAATGATACAATATTTTTCCGAAAATATAAAATACTTTTAGACAAGACAAACTCGACAAAGCTTTCCCTACTGTGAAAAGCGAGAAGTGGAGCCGCCCATTCAGTGACTGCTAATCAGAGTAAGTCCGTGGACCCAAGACCGCATTTCCAGCGGGAGAGAAAATCTGGGGCCCTCTAGATTGAAAATGTTGGGCGATGTTTCGGTGGGGGAAACGTGGATCTTCTGATGCGTAAACCGATCCGCCAAGAAGCGGAAAAATAAATGCATTGAAATGCGCCTTTTAGCAACAAAACTCGCGTTTTGTATGCAATTTGCTTAACAGAGCAAAACTTTTGAAGCCAATGCAGTCGAATAAGGCCGACTACACTTTCAAAAAGCCAACCCACCAGCCAAAGCCGAAACAATACCAATCATAATGGATAACAACAAGTACTTGGATTGGAGGCGAAACTGGCGGCAATTTGGATTTCGGATTTTGGATTTTGGCCTGCGACTGGATAATTAGTGAGTCGCTGGATATCGCCTCCAACGACCTTGATACACTTCAATCAAACATTTTCAATCGATTTCCATTGTTTGCTGCAGCTTTCGATGTTGATTTCTTTGGCAATCCGTCTAGAGCTCCATGGCATTGTCTGCAGCACGTCGAAGGTGCTTGAGAAGGGTCTGCCCGATCTTTCTGAGCACTCGAGTACCCCGAGCCACCTGAAGTTGCCCTGATTACGGACTTTGTCATCCGAAGACCCTGCTTATGATAGTTCTCTCACTTTAGCCGACTTTGGGCTATCAATTTAAGCCTCGATCAATGTTGGCTCTTGTCAGCTTAGGAAATGGTTA